TGGAACGGCCAGCATGGCAGTGGGAGACTGGACCATGGGATGGACTTGTGGGTGTGGGGGGCAAGATCTTGAACTTTCAACTGGATAGGGAAAACCAGGAAGCTCTCAGATTTGGGTTTTCCCAAATGTGCCAACATGGCTGTCTTAATAAATTGGAATTTTGAGCAATACTTTGCCTTGGACTCCGATTTACTTTTGGATGCTATTTGGAACCCTGACAGTAAAATCATCATCGCTGTTATAATAACAAAACCTATTTTACACTCCTTACAATTTAACACTTTGCTGACATGGATCGGGCCATTGCTTGTGCCCACTCCAGGGGAAGGATATTGCAAAATCCCCATTCCCTCCCCACTCCTGGGAGAAGGATACTGTAAAATCTCCATTCCCACCCCATTCTTCGGCCAGCCAGAGATGGTATTTGCCGGTTCTCCGAACTACTCAAAATTTCCGCTACCGGTTCTCCAGAACCTGTCAGAACCTGCTGAATTTCAGCCCTGAAGTTTCCCCCATTGGCTTTGCTTGTTGGAAGCCGGCAGTGAAAGTTGCAAGCGGTGATTATGGGACCATGGGATGCTACAACTGTTGTTATTGCCAGCTGATCACTGAGTGCCTGAATTGTGATCACCTGATCCAGGGAGAACCAGTCGTAAGTCCCACTCATGCAGAATTGTCGTAACTTTGAGCGATAGTTGAGTGAATGGTCATTCCGTAAAAACTACTTCTTTTTGAGGTAGTCCTCAACTTACAAGAGTTCGCTTAGTGGGCATTTGAAGTTAACAATGGCAATGGAATAAGTGACTTGTAACCATTTTCCACACTTACAACCGTTGCAGCATGCGACGGTCAAAATTCAGACTCTTGGCAACTGACTCATACTTATGACAGCTCCAGAGTCCTGGGGTCATGGGAATACTTCTTGCGACCTTCTGACAAGCTAAGTCAACGAGGGAAACCAGATTTGTTGAGTAACCATGTGACTCATTTAACAGCAGCCGCG